ATTGAGAACCCAGTGACTTCACCCACTGTGCATCAGCTGTTTCCTCCATTCCTCCCCCACCCTACCCCTAATTTGGTTAGGAAAAGAAAGACATCGATTACAAAGACAGGCCCTGCTTTACAGGACATTAAAATCTCTGTCAGCAGAGCATCACCGCAATAATGATGTATCCTGTAAAATATGGGCCATTGTTCATGTAGTCTCCAAACTATATTAGAATAACAAGATTCCTGCATGCATTTGAGCAATTCTGTTTAAACATATGCTGTCTGTAGCAAATGATCAGTTGTAAAACAGAAGGAGATAATAAGACAGGGATAATAATGGACCACGAAGACACATATTGTAGCAGACTGCAATTGTTACTGTAAGACTGGGTGGGTGATGTATTAATGGGAGGCGAGACAGTGGGGTCTTATTGGGTAAAATATAGTATCAAACCCATTAAAATTAGATATAAATTGAACAAAAATGCCAGTAATGCATTTAAATCTCCACAGCATTGATGATGTCTCAATAAATGTTCTTTTTATAGGGAGAAATTCTGTCTTTACGAATTATACATGCCACACCCTTTCCACAGCTCCCCTGCTTTCTCACCAGCTGAAACAGCAGTCTGCAACTACAGCCCGCAGAAATAAAATATAATCAATATGGGCTATTGATCCATCAGCCATTTAGGAAAAAAATTAACTAGGCCTCCCATCCCAGCTCCCACTCATTGTCTGGAATACCAGTCATATCTGCCTGTGCAAGACAAAGAAACCAGAGGAGTGCGGTCTACACTGACTGAAGGGGGCTCTGACAAGGGGAGAATAGAATGATTTTTTTTTCTCCTTTCTTTTCCCACAGACAATGTCTTGAGGTCAGCTGAATCCACAGTGTTGAGACGCAGACACGCCCGGTGTTGTGTGAACAAAACCCGTCGAGACACAAGAGCCCCGTTATACCGTTATTCCGATGCGAGCCTGCACGGTCCGCTGCTCCACACCCACTTACCAGTTACCGCAGTGCACAAGATTCAGACAGAAAGGAACAAAAAAAAAGAGAGTCCAACAGTAGTTTTTTACTATTTCAAATTGAAATTTCCATATTTATAATGTATTTAAATGACCATAGGCATAATGTATGAAAGGAATATTCGTTATTCATGCACAAAGAGACAAAAGGACTCCTTTGTCTTCATACATATCAAAAATCAGCTACATTAAGATTTATTTCAATAAGTCTAATGAGTAGTCTATGTCCTGCATAATGAGTCTGGGGCGTGACAGTGACATGAAAACGTTATTTTGTAAAGGAATAAATAATTTCTCAATAATTTTATTTTCTTACCTTGGCACCAATCTGGTTACCGCATTGGCCGGCTTGGATGTGCACGATTTCCCTCATTCTGATTGCTAAAGTTTTACAACGACGAGGAGAGACGTTTCACTTCTTGAACGCGAGGAGCCCACCGCAGACTAGTGTGAACGTGCCGGACAATGGATTTATAATGTTGGAGCGTTTCCAGAACGAGGCTGGGGCCGGGGAGCGGGCGTGGCCAGACCCAGACCCAGCTGCTGCAAACGGGGATTGGCTGAGAGGACTGACCCAGAGCCGGGAGGAGGAGGGGCAATGCTGCAGATCAGGGAGTGGAAATGAGATAGCAAGACTGACCAGAATTTTACCAGCTGGTGCCCAGAAACACCCAGAAAGATATATTAGTTTTTTTTGTTTCAGAAATGAGAGGACAGTGATAAATCAGCACTAATACCCCACTCCCCTTACTGTAACCACCCCTGCAGAGAGGGCAGATGGCAGAAATTTCAGTTTCAATCTGACACGAGATGGGGTCATTCAACTCAAGCCTCATTCCTCAGGGTCCTTGGGTATTGTTTGGAAATACCTGGGGGTTTTGTTGAGCAAGCAGTCTAATCACAAGGTCAATTCCATTCTGGAGCTTATAAAAATAAAAAAAAAAATAAAAAAAAATCCTATTTAGATTAACTTTGTGATTCCTTGATGTTCCTCAGTCTGTCAAGCTGTTAAATCAGTGGACCAGGACTCACATTACTCTGGGTTCTGGTGCATTGCATCCAGCTGATGAGCCTTTTTCTAGAACAACTTGTGTAGCTGTGTTAGCTAAGCACTGCATGTGAAAGAAAGGGATGAAACTGTTTGCACTGCAGCTGCTTAGTCATAATGCCGGACATGATTACTGTATATGTTTGTTGTCAGGGCCGTGTTGACAACTTGACTGGCCCTGGGGCAAACAATTGTTGTTGGGCTCCAATTGCCCCCCATTATACAAGTACATGGCAGTTTCATTATTTCCTTAAGCACACAGAATCCACTCAGTGCTCTAGAGCTGAAATGACTGACTGGCAGTTTTGATTATTGATTGATCATGTAAGTCTTTTTTTAAGCAAAAGTTTTATTCACAAGTTCTCGCTTCTCCAATGTGAATATTTGTGCATATTTATGATAGTAAACTGATCCTTTGTCCCCACTGCCATCAGGCTATACAACAACTCAGCCAAAGGAAGTGGACTAATCTAATTATTATTGTTTATTTATTATCAACTGTTATTATCATTATTATTATTATTATTATTATTATTATCAACAATGAGCTAATGGACACATGAATTTCCCCCAGGGGATAAATAACGTTATCTATCGCTTTGGGTTTGGGACTGTTGGTCTGACAAAACAAGACATTTGCACTTTGCAGAATAGTGATAGGCATTTTTTTTTTACAATTTTGTACATAGATAATTGATCAATTATAAATGCACTTTCAGACTAATAAATAGATAATGAAAATAAAACTCCTATGCTAGAAAAATAAAATTTTACTCTAGGTTTTCTGTGAGAAAATGAAAATAATACAAAGTAGTAGTTGGTGATCCAGCTTTGTTGATAGTGTTTGTTGTGTTTTGTCATGTGAAACTGTGCATCATGTGACAAGATTAAGTGAAATCAAATCAAATTTTCATCTGCTGATGATGTTTGAATAGTTTTCATGGAAATATTGACGTTAAAATTAGTTTTATTTTTAATGGGAATTCCAAGGACTTCTTGTCCATGTTTCTTAAAAAGCTGACAAGCTCTTGACCTTGGAAACAGCAGTACATAATATTCTCAGATAAAGTGAGCTGGAACAGCCTTATACTAAGGTTGTTACATGTGTGTATGTATTTATTATGCAGCAAAATGCTTTAATGTTCCAGGCTTCCTAGAAAAAATGGCATACTGTAAGAGTTGGATATTACCTAGAAATGACATTTAGCTATAACTCTGAACAACAGTGTTATGTGCAGTGTGTGAAGATGGTAATACAAAGATTTTATAAAAGGAATATGTTTCAAATTTTTAAAGCTCAGGATACAATCAGCTGATATCAGTCAGACATCAGCTAACGAGGCCATCTAAAAGGATGGAACAGGCTGAAGAAACAACCTCACCCATCCTTGACTCAATGACCTGGACAAAAAGGAGAAGGAAAAATCTTCTCGTCTCCAGGAACCCCCCACACGTGTTGTAAAGAGCCTGGGGTCGATGGTTGGTGCTTGTTCAGAGTGGACAGCATGGGTGGGCCAGGCCCCTGTTCCCAGCTCCCAGCAGACTGTGAGGAAAAACAGGAGCACATGCAGAGCCAACCATGTCTGTAAAACGATCAGATTAGAGTACAGCAAGCAGATTATAGATCATGAACTAACCTCTTCTGCTGGAGGATTTTTAGTTTTATGAAATAGTCATCATATTTTTAAATTCTTGACATTACCTTTTGCTAGAACGACTTCAATTCAATATATATTTTACTGAGTTTTCTTTACTAATAGAGTTGGTCATTAGGAAAAGCCTGACATAAAAAGACAGCATGGTTAAATCTGTGTTGCTTCTTACTACCGTTATAGTGAAGATATTTTTCATTTATGTGGTGCACCTTTATTACTAAAGTTGTACCATTTAACAGTAAATGTAAGACTCAATTTCTATTGTGCACATTATTACTTTTTCATTTATTCATTCATTCATTCAACAATCATGAAGAAGAGATATCACTGTAAAATTTGATGAGAAAACCAAACCTAAAAATGACTATAACAGACTTGTTATCACATAAATGTTGTATGTTGTTTTTTCTGTCTGCTACATGCTGTTTATCCTCCATTTTAAATCATACATCCAATGCACAAATAAGCAGTAGAACTTATTATGTAAGAACATAGGGTCAGACAGGGTACAGACTTTGCTGAGGCAGCTGCCAACTGATGCCCTGGGCAATTCAAAGAGACCAAGGTCAATGGAAATCATCATACCACTTCCAACAGCTCAAACATGATGTTTCAGTCCTCAATATTAATTCAATAGTTACCATATATCTATGGTGAGTGGCAAGTACGTTTACTCAAGTTTTTATATAATAAGAATAATAATCTTTTTTTGTACAAATAACTTTATATATTGGAATTTTAAAGTCAAATTAACATAAAATTTACCATTATTCAGCTGAATCACACTCTACTCAGTGATTGAGGTAGTAGTATGTTGCAAACATCAGTACAAGGGCATTGCCAAAATTGGAGACCTCTGCCACTCACAATGGTCTGGTCCACTGGAATCATGAGGTGTCCAGCTGTCAGGGGAAAACTCCCTACAGCACACAACAGAGGAAAACATCACGTTTAACGTTAAAAGTCTAACATCATGACTTTCATAAACCACAGTGAAGAACTACTTTAAAAATATGTTTGCCATTTATTCCCATTTGGCTTAAAATTACAAGGAGATAGATAGATAGATAGATAGATAGATAGATAGATAGATAGATAGATAGATAGATAGATAGATAGATAGATAGATAGATAGATAGATAGATAGATAGACACTTGATTACATGACTACAGCAGGTGGTGCAGTTGTCCCTACTGACCACTAGATAGCGTTACAGAAGTCTTGGTTGTAGTGAAAGATGGGTGTGGTCTGCAGGCACTTCCCCCTCCAAACCGACATTTTTGCCATTCCTCGTAACAGCACTCTGCATGACCGTTGCGACAGGGAAATTATCTGGATTTATTCTAATAAGGCCTTTTACATATTGCCTGGATTATTATCGGTAAGTTAAAGGGAACGATCTGTCCCATTTGTCCCATCGTTTAGTTGTGGTTAACGGCTGTTGTGTCAACACGGGACTGGCTGTTCCCACAGGCGTATTATCGACCCAGACCCGATTCTTCTGCCTTTTAACGATTAGTTAGCTAACGCTACTATGCGAGCTAGCTTTCTTTGCAGACCGTTATTCGGGTTTAGGTTATTTTTGGAGCCTCGAAGTGTTTTGCAACTCCTACTATTCGACAACATATTACCTATTAGCTTTCTGCCTTTGCGTAACGACCAGATTGCCCTGTGTTGTGATTGTTTGCGGGGGAGGGCGTTTAGTTTCACGGTGTAAATATATGTGAGGCTTTAGGTAAATGACTGACAACGACACGTTAATTGCAGGATGTGAGTTACTAACATACACTTGATTACATTAACACCCATCAACAATCCTTCGATACAATAACAAACTTGAGCTTATGATGCTTAAATATGAACAAATGTGTGCATGTTAATGTCAGTTATGGTGGCGCCATCGGTTTAAGATGCATTTAAATTTAAATGGACGTTAGTGCATATTCACTGCAAAGAAGAAAAAAAACATTTTCTTTGGTGTCCTAGTTTAATATATCCATTACATTGCTTTTCCAATGTATTTTTAAATACATCCCAATGAAATCTACGAATACGCATGATGTTTTTTTCTTTGCTAACTGTAATGATCATACTTTGACAAGGTCGTGCAATAATTTCCCCTCCCCTCAAATTAGGAATCAAGATGTTCTACACATGTGGACCCAATGAAGCTATGGTGGTGTCTGGTGAGATATTTGCTTGATTTCTCTTCCGTTTATCTCATGGTTGCACAGTTATTTCTCACAACAACACAGGATATTTAAAAAACAAACAAAAAGAATAGTCCTTGTTGGGTAGTAAAACACTCCAGCCTTCACAATTCTGTATCGTTGTTACAGACTACAGCAATTCATTCTAAAATGTCATTATAACCATGCAATAAAAAGAGACGGGTTTTGTGGACAGTGGACTTGTATACCTGTGTCCTGTGAACGATTTATTCATCACATATCTTGTGAGATGTGATTGAGTAACACCTACAGTCAATTTGAAGTAAGCTAGGAATTTTCCAGCTTGCTGTAAAGTGTAGGTTAATGCAAAGCATTACTCAATATGTTCTCATATAGGGTTGTAAGCTGAACTCTGTACTCTGTATAACTAACTGTGTTTTACTGAATGGTAGTGTAATGTTTATATGCGTTCTCCCCTGATCCAGGCTTTGGCCGTTCTCCTCCTCTAATGATTGCTGGAGGAAGAGTGTTTGTCTTCCCATGTATTCAGCAGATCCAGAGGTGATTGTCTTTTCAGTCTCTTTCCCTTTTCTATTTTATATAAGTAGAATCGGGAAAATAAATGTTGATGTAACAGACAGTTACCAATTTCCTCTGTCTGCCTTTTCATTCTTGCTCTCTGTATTGTATCTCATGCATTCTGCCCTTCCTTGTATTTTATGCCATTTCCCCTCAGAATCACGCTCAACACCCTGACTCTGAATGTGAAGAGTGACAAAGTCTACACCCGCCATGGTGTCCCTATCTCTGTCACTGGCATTGCACAGGTATGCTTTGACAAGTGGATGACTGAAACACTATAAGGCTTTTAACTAAACTGAGTCAAAAAGATGTGTGAATTTCCACAAAAGTTATTACAATATATTGAAAGTATTTTGCATGGACTCCAAAAGGCAGAGAAGGAGGTCAGCAGCTATTTAAAATCAACACACATCTACGGAAATAGGCTGTTGCTCATACAGGCCTGGGGCTCACTGGGGCTGACTGACATTAATGAATAGGAACAAGTAACCACTGTGTGATTAAGTTAGAAATACAAAATACAGAAACAGCAGCAAATTAAATAAAGTAAATTTGTTTGTTGCAATACAATGTACAACAGCATTCATATTCAGTTCAGTCTGAAGGTCGTCTACTGTTAGTAAAGAAGGGAAAGGAAGATGACACTTAAAAAGGGTCCCAGGCTGGATTGGATAGGGTCAATGGGACACCACCACTGGGAAAGTATTAAAATGAGACATTGTTTATTTGTTAATGGCAGTTGCATATTTTTGACAGAAGAGAATAGATAAAAAGATAAAAAACATCAGGTCGTGGCATCTTTAAAAGGTTGCGCTACCGACTTAGCTTATTAAATTATAAACTGAAAGTCAGATAGATAGAAAACCAGATTTGTGTTCCTGTTGAGATCCATGTATTTTATGTTCAATCAGATTCCAACCTTGCCACTACCACTTGTTAAAAGCTGCTGGTGTTTCACATTTTCTGTCCTTATACAGGTGAAGATCCAGGGCCAGAACAAGGAGATGTTGGCTACTGCCTGCCAAATGTTTATGGGCAAGTCTGAGCCTGAGATCGCCCAGATTGCACTAGAAACACTGGAGGGACATCAGAGAGCCATTATTGCCCATTTGACTGTGGAGGTTGGTGTAATGACATTATCAAATAGATTGGCTTGGCATGTTCCACCCATAAAAGATTCAGAGACATTATGTTTATGATTAATCACCAACTTAGCCACTAAGTGAAACTTACAGTTCATTCAGAAAGTATTCAGACCCCTTTGCTTTTTCAACATCTTGTTATGCTGCAGCCTTATGCTAAGATATTGATATTTCAATATATTTGATATTTCGGTTTTTAATCAATTTGCAAACTTTTATTCAAAGTGACTTACAAGTGAGGGACAACATTACAGCTTAAGTGCAGTAGGATACCTTGGTGTAGGTACCAAGTACTACATCTATTCAATAAGTGCAAGGAGATCAGGTATAGCAGTGCACCGCAAGTGCATAGTAAGTGCTAGTTAGACATTTTAGGGTTAAGAGGTCTTTTTGGGTAGAATTGCAATCCACGATCTGAATCGCGATCTGCATCCTGTTTCTGCTCAGGTTTTATTTTGAAAGTCCTGACTGGAAGTTGTAATTAATATCTTTACTTTGCTTTGATGCTTTGTCTGTCCGCCACTATTCTCCACCCACATTGCCGTCTTCTGTTTACAAACTGTGTCACAACCAGTCACACTATTTGCTTAGTTTTATATGGAGTACTCATTTAGACTGTACTGTTATTGATCTATGGGGTGCTATATAAGTATTTTAGCTGAAAGTTCAGGCGCTGATGACTGCCTCTTCCCGCCTCTTCCCGCCTCTTCCCGCCTCTTCCCGCCTTCAGTTTCCCTGCCTGCTGGCAGATCACTCGTTTCGCTGAGGAACTGCAATTCCATTGTCTTGAACTGCAGCTAGTGATACTAGTTCTTGTTCTGCTCAGGTGAACAACTTTTACACGTGGCGCTACGCCCAGCTTCCCAAGGCTGCAGAGCAGAAGGACTACTATCGCCAAATACAGTTAGTGGGCTAGTGTTTAACAGTTGACAATGGGCTGGTCGGCAGCAATTGAACTTGAAATTAAATATCTAAATATAGTGTCTTTTAATGACACAATCTGTACGATTCATCAGAAAAGTAAGTCATATGTCAAAATGAGATCGTCCACGATATAAAATCTTCAGATGGCCCACCGCTAACAGGTCATACAAACAGGACGCTCAGGTCTCTCGTGACCCTGTTTGAGGTAAGTGATGAAGAGATTGAAATTGATATCATGATGGAGAGTGAATGGCCGGGATGACTGTTAGAGAGGTTTAGTTGAAGGCGGTGTTCCTCCATCCATCCATTTTAGCATAAGGCTTCAACACAAATATGAAAAAACTAAAGGGTTTTGAATACTTTCCAAATGCGCTGTATATACTTTATGTGATGCCTGTAATGATCTATCTCTGTTTGCAGGAGATCTACCAGGACCGTAAGAAGTTCTCTGAGCAGGTCTTTAAGGTGGCCTCATCTGACTTGGTCAATATGGGAATTGGTGTTGTCAGCTACACGCTCAAAGATGTTCACGATGATCAGGTATTTTTTGTCTGTTTGGGTTTGTTTTCTGTTGACATTGACAAAGATCTGATAATCAAAACACCACACCAAACATTAATTACTGGAGCAGCAGGAATCTGTAGTGTCACTGTAATCCCACATCTTATTCATATGAAAGCTTTTAGTCTGGGATGATTCCTCTGTTACAGTAAAGCACTTAGGTAATTGATATTGACTCACTGTTTCTGACTCAACTGACCCCCAGCTCTTCTGTGCATTAGTGATAAATTAGGCCTAAGTACTTAACCACATCATCTTTTTTTTTTTTTTTTTTTTATATCTGTCTAATGCACTACCTTCCTTTTTATGCCTCTGCGCTGGCGACAGCCAAGGCCTGCAGGCAATATGTTTGACTTGTCCATACAGCCATCTGTCTGTACGTCCCATTGTCGTGAACGCAATATCTCAGTAAGGCCTTGAGGGACTTTCTTCAGATCTGGCACAAACAGTCACCTGGACTCAAAGATGAACTGATTAGATTTGCGTGGTCAAAAGGTCAAAGATCAGGTTGACCTCACAAAACAACAATTTTGGCCTTTTGAATGTGATATCTCAAGACCTGAATTTCTTCATATGTTGCGCAACATTCACTTGGACCCAAGGATGAACTGATTAGAATTTGGTGGTCAAAGGTCAAGGTCACAGTGACCTCACCAAACACATTTTTGGACATAACTATCAAATTCCAATGCTAATTATGACACAATTTAACACAAATGTCTAATAGGACAAAATGATGAAGTGCTGAAATTTTATGTCCCAATGGTCAACGGTCAGACTTCACTGTGACATCTGCAAAGTGTTCTGCAAAAACACCTCCTGGCCATTATTCGAAACTGTGACTCAGTAACGGGAGATGTGACCATATTTCTTGCAGCTTGGCTGGTTGGTGGTGGCATGCAAATGCATAGTGGTAATTCTAGTTATTGCTCAAACTTTGTTGTTCCATAATTAACTGTCACTATTACAACTATCTGTCTGTCTCTTGCAGGACTACCTTCATTCTCTTGGTAAAGCCAGAACAGCCCAGGTGCAGAAGGATGCCAGGATTGGAGAGGCTCAGTACAAAAGGGATGCCGTCATGAGGGTAAATTACCCCCTTTTGTTCTTTTTTTCAGTCCTGTCATTCTGTCTCTTTGCTCATATGGATACTCTGAAAATGAGAATGAACCATCATTTGAAAAGAAAAATACTAAAATTTTCTCTATTACTGTCCTGCTACTGTTGATTTACAGGAGGCCCACGCGATGCAAGAGAAGGTGTCTGCTCAGTACAAGAATGAAATTGAGATGGCAAAAGCCCAGAGAGACTACGAGCTGAAGAAGGCAGCCTATGATGTTGAGGTCAACACCAAGAAGGCAGAGTCAGAAATGGCCTATCAGCTTCAGGTACAGTCATCTGTTCATAATCTGATCTTCTATGGCCATTTCTTTTGAAACGCTTCAAGTTATGTTGTTTTTGTGGAATTTTTGGTCTGGTCAGTTTCTTTCAGCTTGTACACATCTTGTCCACAGGTTCTTTTTTTTTTTTTATTTTTTATTTTTTATTATGCTGGCTTGTCGAGTTTGTATTAGTAAGACCAATCCATATCGTAGATGACATCTGAACTTTTCCTCTGCTTCCCTCATCAGGTGGCCAAGACAAAGCAGCGCATTGAGGAGGAGAAGATGCAAGTGCAGGTGGTGGAGAGGACACAGCAGATTACTCTGCAGGACCAGGAAATCATGCGCAAGGAGAAGGAGCTGGAGGCCAAAGTCAAGAAGCCTGCAGAGGCAGAGAAATACCGGCTGGAGAGGCTGGCTGAGGCACAACGGTGAGTTCTAGAGCGTAATACTGTTGACTTGTATGATTCTGAAGAGAGCAGTCACTAAAAAGTGTGCATATGTACAACTCAGCTCAGTCTCTCTTCTCTTCTGCAGCCTGCAGCTCATCATGGAGGCTGAGGCTGAGGCTGAGTCCATCAGAGTGAGTACTGCCATGTTTCTCTTTTTCTTGTCTGATAGACAACTCATCATATTGCAACAATTTACTCCCTCTTTTCCCTCTTACCAAACATCACCACAGTCAGGACTGGCAGTCTTGTGCCCTTCTATTGTAAACTTAACCTTAATTTATGTATGTGTGTGTGTGTGTTTAGATGAAGGGCGAGGCAGAGGCTTTTGCCCTGGAGGCTAAGGGTCGTGCCGAGGCCGAGCAGATGGCCAAGAAGGCCGAGGCCTTCAACCAGTACAAAGATGGAGCCATGGTGGATATGCTGCTGGAGAAACTGCCACTGGTCAGTCTGACTATCATGGCTGTATGAAGGGATGAAGAATAGATGATGTTAGAAGTGTATGATGAAATACTATGTTATTATCGGGACCATTTTGCTTAGTCGCATGTTGCTTGTGGGTTTTTTATTACTTAGTAGACTTGTCATCATAGCATGGCCTATAATATAGCACCCTCTGTATTATATTGATTTTATTCTGAATTAGTTTAAGGTCTTTAATCAGAAGTATGCTCATTCGGCTTTAGTCATTTTACACAATTTTTTTAAAAATAATTTTTTGTGTGTGTTTTTAAACTTCGTGTGTGGCTTAATTGATATTTAGACAACAGCAAATATTCTCTTACTGTAATGAAGTAATTTGACTCCCTGTATCTTGATATATTTTCTTTAGTTCAACAAAAGTGGAGTTTATTTTGAAAGTCCCATTTTTAGCAATTTCCTCTCAATTATTATTAATACAAAATTCAAAGCACTTACTAAATTAACTTTTCCTTTTTTTACACTAAGCGATGAATATCTTCTTCAATGTATTGACTTCAGTGTTTCTGTTTGTCCTGCAGATGGCAGAGGAGATCAGCAAGCCACTGTCGGAGGCCCAGAAGGTCACTATGGTGTCCAGTGGCGGCTCAGAGGTGGGAGCAGCCAAACTGGCCGGAGAGGTGTTGGATATCATGACCAGGCTGCCACTGGCAGTGGAGAAACTCACTGGAGTTGATATTTCCCTGGTAAGTTGGAGTATGTGTGTCAGAGACTGATGGATAATGTATGAGGCTGGAAGGCTGGTGTATGTGGTAATTATCTCAATGTTTCTCTCATTGACTTCACAGGTTGGAGGACAGAGAGCACGTGCCCATTAAGAACACAGACAGTAGAAATAATCAGGAGAGGTGTCACCAATATCCCTACTAGGAGATCCACATCTTCTCCTTGTGCCGATTAATCACTGTATCGACTCCACCAATACCGTAGTCCTGTCCGATTATCTGTGTGCATGCATGTGTTTCACTTGTGCATCTCTTTTGCTGGTTCTTCCTCCATCCAACACCCCGTGCCTTTTGCATGGAGGAGGGGCTTTGTGTTGTTTCTTGTCATACCTCTGATCTGAGCTGTTGTGTTTTCGGCTGTGGTTGACAGCAAAAGCAGCTACAAGGGATTCTATCATTGATGAAGTTACTTTGTCTGCCTGGAGGAGAAAAAAGGCTCAACCCACTTCTGCCAGTTGTAGTCCAAGTAGAAAATCCAGTCTGTCTTTTTACACTTGACCCTCAGTATGCAAGTTTTTATTAACATTTTATTGTGGAAAAAAATGCTTGTTTGGTGCCTTTTAATTCACTAAATGCTGCTGAACTCTTTATCACAGCATTACCTCATACTTTAGTTAGTGGGCGTGTTGCTTCTCTCATTGTACTTTTATACTATTTACTTCACATAACCTAGGTTTGTGTTTATTATAAAAGACACACAAAGCTGGGGCGGTTCTAGTGTACGCCACATATCTCTTTGTTGCAACTGACTACATTACTGGGCCCAAAATCATATCGGTTGTGCTGCAAGTGGAAGAATTTTCTCTGTGCTTCAAAATGAGGGTAAAGGAAGTGGTTAATGGAAACAAGGTTTTGGGGTTTCCTGTGAAAAGCAACCAGAAAGTATGTTATGGTGGGGGAAAAAAAATATTTTTTGTCTTTGCTGCAGTGTCTTCTGGTGTCTTCTTTTGTATGGCAAGAGTAAAGGACCATCACTAACTAACCAACTAACCAGCCTGTTGCTTTGATGTGCTTGCTGCCTGGAATTTAAACTGATATACAGGAGATAGAATGATTTTCCTTTTTTATTTGTTGAACTGATTTTCCATCACAATGTGATGTTGGGTATTACAGATTTTGGCTGATTGTAGGTCTTGTACTTTTAGGAGGTTCGGAATGACACCCCAGTACCTCTGACTTGGAGTTTGGGGGCTGATCTCTTCACAAAATTTCCAAACGTTTTCCATCTACCAAGCCTTATGCATTTTGTGACCGCCAAGTGCCTGGTCAAGACTCCTCAACAGCCAAGTCAAATTGACTTCTGTCAGGGAATAATTTCTTATATCTAATCATAAGCCATTAGCCGTCATTATTGACAGCTGTAGATGAAAGCCAAATCAGTCTTTGCTCCTTTTGTATGTTCTTCCGACCAATTTCTCGCTGTTGTTGCATGTCCGTCTTTTAAACTGACATAGGAAGTAGCTGTTACATAGTGTGGAAGTTGTATACTGGTGTCCAATATTAAAGATTTATATGTAGTGAAATGTTCTAAGATATTATAGACAATAAAATATAGCTTAATCACTGAAACCTGTTGCTGTCTATTTATGTGCCTCCATTCTGGAGACAGCTGTGGCTGTAGGAATTATGGTGTTGGTTTGTTCCTCTGCTTGTCCCATGATAAAATACACTTCATACTTTTTATTAATTTTTTAAAGACTTAAAAGTCTTCACTACAAATGAGCCTGGACAGATATGTATGTAAGCTAGTAAAATAATCAAAAATAACTCAATTTGATTTAAGTAAATTTAATATATATTTAATTAAATGTAATTAATTCATTTTATTTTTATTTAATTCATTTAAGTGAGTAATTTAATTTAGAATATTTAATTGTTCAATTGAGTAAAAATGTATTTAGTCTATTCGAGTAAATTTTAACTATTTTTACTCAATTTAATTTGACTGAGTAAATTACATTTAACAAATAATTTAAATCGTTTTAATATATTTGATTTAATATATTTTAATTTATAATTAATATTTGAGTTAATTTAATGATAAATGATTACCCAGTGGTAAAACTTTGAGTAATTTCTGAGTGAATTTAATGTATATATTTAACTCAATTTTATTCATTTAACTTTAATAATTTGAATAAAGTTAAATTCATTTAAATTGGATTTAAATCAGTAAATTGAATTTAATTAATCTAACTTTATTCAGTGAATTTAATCTAAAAATTTAACACAATACCTCAATATTTTACCTTAAATTCTTCACAATATTGGAGTAGCGTTTTGTATTGTATGCCAGCCAATTTAATTAACTTAAATTTGTTTTTAGCCTGTAACTTGCCGTCTACACCGATTCCTTCACTGCGGATTTTGAAAAGGACGAATCCTCTTCTGTGGGACTTTAAACAATATTAAATTTTACTTTACTGTGGATTTTAAGCGTTTGACGCACAACTGACAATGTGACAGCCATCTTGGCTACCGACTATCCTAAATGCGGCAGCTTGAGCATGCACTTGACAGATTATGGCTATTTGTTGTCTGTCCTACTCACGGTTATCAGATGATATTCACCGGTTACGTGAGGAGATGAGGAAGAAGGATGATCTCATGCTCTGTACCCTCAAGCCTTGGTCCCCGCAGATTCCGACACCACTCTGCCTTGGTCCGGATCAATCCTTGCAGTCAGTGAGTCTGGTCCATCCGTTGCCCCACCAGCTGTGAAGGAAGATGCTTCCCGAGGCCTGGTCACAGGTGAAGAGCGGAGGTCGGCAAAACAAAAACTCTACGCCCCGTGTTATGCCCCAGACCATCCATTTTGAGAATAAATTTCGAGCTCTGGAGTCCATGGTCGATGTGCTGGATGAAGGAGAGTTTGTGTACACCTGTGTGTGTGCGCGATCGCAGTCCTCCGTGCCATCTTCTGGACTGCAGGGCTCGCCCTCTGTGACCCTCCCTGGGCAGTCTGTCGGTGGTGGATCGCGGCGCGTCGAGTGCTCCGCGGCCTCCAGACTTTTCACCGCCTGCAGCCTCCCCTGTCAGTGCAGTCTACCCAGGGAAAACATGCCGCTGCTGCACGTCGCTCCTGCCCGGTGGCCAAGCATCCCTCTGGGCCTCCGACTCGCTCCAGTGGTGCGCACTCCAAGTCGTCTACCGAGGCAGCTGTCGAGGATGAACATGCCGGCTGATCTCCAGTCCTCCTTGTTGGATCATCCATGGTCCGACACATGCATATCAACAGGTGCCTCACCTCTTGCTACCCAGGTGGTCTTGTTGAGGACATTAACAACGCCGTCCCACAACTGCTACGTCACCACTCGACCGTCTCCGTAGTTGCGGTGCATGTAGGCTACAATGATTTTAAGCTACAGCAGTCAGAAAAGCTTAGAAAAGATTTCTTCTGCCCGATCGACAGTATTCTGAACTCTAATAGACAGTGCATTATCTCAGATCCACTTCCCTCTCCCCGTTCAGGCGTTGTGAAGGTCTCTTATGGCAACTGCACATCTGAAGGACTACTGCTGTAACAGAGGGATCCCCATTGTGGACAATTTCACCACCTTCTACAAGAGATCAGACCTCTTCGTTTGTCTTTGAACATTGAACTTACTCATGACGGTTTAAGCAGTTTTCTTTACATAAATTATATTGTTTCTTCTGCAACTGGTTGTAATATCCATCTTTATGCTGATGATACTATTTTGTATTGCATTGCGAATACTGAAGTCTGCTAAGGAAAACTCTCCAGCTCTTTTACTGTTTTAGAGGTTGCTCTCAATAACCATAAATTAGTTTTAAATGCAGACAAACTTCAATTTATCCTTTTGTCCAGAGCCAGAAATATTGGTCTTGATAATTTCATCATCGCCACTAAAAGTGGCACCAGTACTGAAAGAGTTATGCTTTACAAATACCTTGGGATCTGGATTGATGAAAAGTTATCCTTCAAAAATCATGTCTTGTGAGAAAATTGAGGTTGGCTTTTTTCTCAGGAATAAATCCTGCTTTCCATTATACTGTAGAAAAACTTACATAGGCAACTTTTAAAAAAAATCAGTTTTAGATTATGGGGACATCTTGTACAGACATGCTTCAGCTGGAACTCTAAAACCTTTTGATGCTGTCTACCACTCTGCTCTTAGGTTCATTGTTGGTGATGCCTATAATACTCATCATTGTATCTTGTATGAAAAGGTTGGATGGTCCCCTCTTTCCCTGAGGTGTGAAGTGCATATTTATTTATTTATTTACAAAACCCTTCTTGAAAAACTGCTGTCATATCTTACTTCCATGTTAGTTTGGTCCACTGGACCACATGACGTCAGGACTAATGACTGGCTCACACTCCATGTCCCTCGAGTTCACACTGAGCTTTTGGCTTTTTTTGCACCATCCACCTGGAACTCACAACAAAGCACTTTAAAAATGAATTTGTTTGGTACCTCTTGGTCATTTTAGATTTTTAATCTGACCTTTTTACTTCTGTTTGTACCTGTTTTAATTGACTTGATGTTCCTTTTTTAACAGGTATTTTTATCTAGTTTACATCATTGTAAATGAGGCTTTACCCTTAATGATCTTCGAGTTTAATAAAGACATATAAAGAGTCTGGTCAGACGTAAACTGCAACTTGAATGGTTAGTGGAGGCATACAACCGCAAGGCGGTAATTCGAGTTTCACCATCCAATTACTTTATTGAGGTGACTGATGTCATTAAGACCACCTAATGTTTTATTGACTAAACGATGAATCTATAAAACAGTTGGCAGATTAATCAAAAATGAAAATAATGGTTAGTTGCAGCCCTAGAGCACATCTTGATTTATTTGAAAAGGTTAACTTTATGAAAACAACTACAAAAATAGACAACACAATGAATTACAATGGCATCAAGGTAGCAAGCGTTCTACAGAGATACAGAAGACCCAAATGTAAGAGTTCTCTATATATTAGTAAAGGAAATTACAATTCTGTCCTTAAAATATGTACATACTATAATGTTCAAGTTCAAAGACACAAAAGGATGAAATCAGACATCAAGGAGTGTCTAAGTACATACAGTATATATAAAAATATGGGTTTAGTTGAACTACAGTGTATCAAAAATGACTCAAATGGCACGACCATTCACAATCAGTAAACATGTAGTACTTGATAATCTTGATCATCTCTGGACTGATTTACAGTGCTATACAATCAGTAAGGTAGATGCATTGATTCTACTGTGGTCAGCTTAATATACTAAACATGGGACAATGCAGAGGTTGATGTTGACTTTCACACTAAAATCAGTACTCCCAGCGTTCCCTGTTTGAACAATGCTATAACTGTGTTTTTAAAATACAGTAATGCATTTGGATGAGCGTAGACAGATTATGTGATGAGTTAACATATCTCAACACACTGAAAGTTTCAGAACAAAAGGTTTTCGTACATTTAAAATGAGATGAACTGATGGTGCCATTCCATTTTTTAAATAATATTTTACATCGAATGGTTTGGCAATGCCTTGTTGGAGAGGATGTCCTTTTAAAATGCATCTGTGATGCATTTTGATCTCCCCTGGCAAATATCTTAAAATCACTGCAGGTAAAATGCGTCAGAATCCACGTCAACAGGAATCATATCATATCAGGCCCCTCACAGAGAAAAGTTTCATCGTGGTTGGGGGGATATGCACGTAGGATTTAAAGTGCAGCTGGTTGTGGAATTTTACATCTATCCTTTGTGTCTGGGTCAAAGCCAGATACAAAAAAATCTCCAAAACATCTGAGCAGGCACATCCGAAGATGTCCCGTCCACTGCCCCTGCTGGCAGCATTGTCTCTCTGCTTGGAAAACCGTTCCAGTTTCTGGGTCACATCTCATTGGCAGCAGCAGACTCACTTCTTCTGTGCCTTTTTCCTCAGGTTTGAGTAGTCTATTTGGCACCAGGGATACATTTTTTCATTTTCTGTGGCTTAAAGATGGGGTTCAAATACTTTCACTTTTTGACTACAATGGGGTGTCGGTGGTTGAGGGCAAACTTGACATGATCACACTGCAGAAAGGGGGTTGCTGTTGTCTGGTCCGCATCATTTCACATTAGTCCACAGTAACTTAAGAGTTACAGCTGTGGATGTGGGTCATTATATAAGGTTTTGGGGCTGAGATAGAGGATTGATTAAGGGTCATGGTAAGCATGGTACACGGTAAGTTCTCCTATCATCCAGGTTCTACACAGTCAAGTTAGCCATCAGCCGTGTCTAAGTGTTAAGATCTTTTCTTAGACGTGTTTGAATTAAACTGATTTAAATGTGTAGAGTTGGCTATACATACTATAAATACTATGACAGTCCCTGTGTGTGCAGTTTCATCTCTGAACAACAGGTGCTGTGTTCAGAGAACTTTGTGTTCACAGTGCATGTGTGCCTTCACCAGTTACCCTGCATGAAGCATTTGAGATGTTGAGTAAAGAAAAGTCATGAAACTTAATAACTGATCATTTCCTAGCTTGCTATGGCCATAGTATGGAGTATTTTCTGCTGTTTAGCCTCTGCAGCTTCCTGTATTTTGAACTCTACAGCACTTAATCACCAGTCACCTAAACCCGAGAGAAAGTTCCTATGCAGACTGCACCCACCACCAACCACTGAAATGTAGCTCGGACTGTTACCTATCTAAAGCTGGGGTTAGTTTTGCCTTTGGGGTTGGGGTCTGAAGTGGAAATAAACCGAACCAGCGGTGTCTCAGCCCCATCCACCCACCCAAGTACAAAATATAAAAGCGAGCAACCCACTTTAACCTCTTATCTGCCTCTGCTGTGCGACACCTCCACCACACTGATTCAGACACCTTCCCACTGTAGCAAGGATGCATAAAAGCACGAGCCATTTCCCCTCTTTAACGTTGCCATTCTTCTTAAGTTTCTCTGATTCACTCTTTAAACCATGTTCATGGCGTCCTCAGTGAGGAAGGAGTGGATGTAGGCGAAGGATGGGCGGAGCTTGCAGTCTCTGTTCCAGCAGCTCAGCATGAGCTCATAGAGACCCTGAGGACACACAGCTGGCCTGCTCAGATACACCTGGAGGGGAGAGAGAGGGAGAGAGATGTATGGAAATACATCATATTCTTGCATCTTTTTATGACCTGATAGCCACCAAGACCAAATACTGGATGTAAATATAGGAAACCAGAACAAAAACTTATTTTATCATATTTAATTATTACGAATAACAAAAAAAAAAAAATCAATAGTTATTGATGTAACAGAGTTTGTCTTCTGCTTTTAATAGTATGAGTGCAAACTACTGTATACCACTGGTTTTAGATGAGTTGTAGATGAATATGTCTTAGAATTAAGTCACAGAAGTAGAACTAAACAAAAGTAAATATCTATTTGTGAGGATAAATATGTCACTTCTAACTCGTAATCACTCCAACAGCTGAATAGAGCAGCCACTCTGAACTTTGGATGCAGCTTTCAGTTGCATCTATCATATTGTGAAACAACAAAAGCCCAGTGTGAGAACATTTCTAGAAAGTAAGGAACTGATACTGAGGAAGACCAGTCCACATCCTCAACAAATCAGTGATGTAGAGAGCAGAGCATCCACATCATGTAAGGCACTGCTTACTGTCCATTCACAAGTTGAGCTTCAGTGAATTTTGACACACAGAATAACTGATGAATATTCATCTAGAGCATACTATGTATGAATGACAAAACTCAACTTCCTGAGAGCTAAAATATGAGTAAATACTGGTGTATCCCTGCACCTGTGGTGTGTGTGCGTGTTTCTGTGTGACGTACCTGTCTGCCCTGGTCTCTGAAGAACTCCCCAGCGTTGTCGATGACTTGTTCATCCGTGAGGTTGGAGTACGGCTGCTCCTGACAAACGCTCAGCATCTCCCACAGGGTGACGCCGAATGCCCACACGTCGCTGGCCGTGGTGAACTTACCCTGAAAAACACACAACCACACTCAACTTCAACGTCATGCTCTCCATCAGTATCAAAACTATCATCAACTTCCTAATATTAACAATTATTATTAAGACAGTTTAGAGTTCCTGTTGTTGCATGTATAACTCATAAAATCTTTCAGTGATTTAAAAGGAGTCAAACATTAGAGAAGAAGAAGAAACTGAGGTGAGCTGCTGATTCTGCAGAGACTCTTTACTAGACAAAAACACAAGAAGCTAAGCTTTTATAACTTCACTCAGAACTACAGACTAGTTGGTATTTTTTATAATGAAATTTGATTTTTTTTTAAAACAAAATTTCCCTTGTTTCTTTAGTACTTAAGCATAAATTCCTAGATTTTTTGTTTTAAATAAAAAACAAAAATGAATAAATAGTCATTATCAATATAAGTTGAGTGCTGATCATTTATTATATTTATTATGATTTATCAAACCAAACATCAACGGTCACACACCATCAGATGCACAAACACACACATTCCCTGTTCTCTCACCATGAGTATACACTCCCAGGCCATCCAGCGTATTGGCAGCACAGCTCTGCCCTGTATCCTGTAGTAGTCTCCTGCGTACAGATTCCTGCTCATGCCAAAGTCGGCTATCTTGATGTGACGCTCGCCGCCCCGCTCCTCCCCGCTCTCACCCTTCTCGCCTCCGACCAGACAGTTACGTGTGGCCAGATCCCGGTGCACAAAGTTGAGGGAGGAGAGGAACTTCATTCCTGACGCAATCTGGCTGGCCATGGAGATGAGGGCCGGGTAACTGATGACAGACAGAGGGGACAATAAATAAATCAAAACTACGACTGTGTGTGCATTTATATCTGTGTATACGAGCGAGTGTGTGCGTGCACGCTTATGTGTTACCTGATGGTCGGGGTGTTGTGCGAAGGCCCCGTCTTATCCAGAAGCACTCGGTGGGACAGATACTGGTTCAAGTCTCCACATTCCATGTACTCAGTGACCATACAGAGGGGGTCGCTGCTCACACACACTCCCAGCAGCCGGATGATGTTCGGGTCCTTCAAGCGAGACAGGATCTTCACCTCTTTCAGGAAGTCATTCCTACCAGGGCGCAAGGGAAAAGTGAGATACATTGGGGAAATGGAGGGATAGAAAAGAAGCTCTGAATTTGGAGGTGATAAAGCAAATCAGGAATAAAGTGCGAACGACGCAGAATCTGGGTTTCTTCTTCAGCCTGAGGTAGAAATAAATCACTTGAATACAAAAGCATAATGAAGCAACACTTTCTCGCTGTTACCACTGAGTGAAGTGAGAGGATACCCGGTTCAGCTGAGAATCAACACCCCAGTCTGCAGCTCTCTACGGCCTTCCACCTCACTGATTTGTCTTGTTGGCTGCTGCAGTTCTAACTACCCTTCCATATAAAACCTGTGGAGGAGCCACTCCTAGCACATAAACTAACACGTGTAGATTTTTACCTGCCAAGTGCATAATGTGTGGACAGCCAAAGTAAACAAGCAGCCGGTGCAGGGAGTCAAACATCTAGAAAACCTCAAAGACCCAAATATTTTTCTACAGTTCTGAGGGATCAAACCAGGGGTTAAGTATGAGAAAATATTGGACTGTATTTAACAGGTGAAACAACAATTCTGCTCTGCTTCGGCTGGATATGTTATGGATAAGCTGTATCAGGTAACTGATTAATAACACAGTAGCCGTTTAGTATGTGAAGGCTCAGTGTTTTTTTTGGAGTCTACTTGCTGCCCTCTAAAGGTCACATACAACCTCAAAATCACAGCTTGAAGTATTAAGCAGAAGAATGCTGCGATTTATATTCTGGTACTTTCCTACAAAATCACCTACAGTATTAGTAAGAATTCCCCTATATTACGTGATGACATCATTTCATTATCGAGGAAGCTGCTGATTATGTTTTGGATTTATCGTCTGGTCTATGAAAATAGTGAAAAAAATGCCAGTCCCAACTTCACAGAGCCCAGTGATTAGCTGATTTTTCTGTCCATCACCTAAAACTGTCCATCAAAAATACTATGATCAGTGGGAAAGCTGCAGTTCAGTGAACACATGAGAAAGAGAGGAGATAAGCAGTAACAGCAGAAAGAAAAGAGAGCAGGCTCAGCTGTGTGTGATGTTACAGACCTGGCGTTCTTGGAAGCGTCTGGTCGCAGTATCTTCACTGCTACCAGAAGAGGGCGACCTTTTCTCACATTGAAGGGGAACTCCAAGTTGGGAAGATCCTGAGGGTTCTCGATTTCACACAGGTGCACCTTTCAACAGCAACAACAACAACAACAACAAAAAAAATGACATTGTTAAAGCCCAATCACCCTTCCACCCACCTACACATTTTTTCAGGTCAAGTCTCACCTCCCCAAACTGTCCCTCTCCCAGTTTCTCCTTGAAAATGAGACACTGGCGCGGCAGCTCTGGCAGGGGGGCGGCGTCGGCCCCGGGGCTCGAAGAGGCCAAGGCGGGCACGGCGTAGGTGTTGTTACCGCTGACACCCTGCAGGCTCACAATGTCTGCTTCAGCATAGTGGGGGACGCTGGGAGGTAGCGGGGGAGATACAGGGGGAGAAAGGGATGGGTAAGGAGGGGAGCCGGGGTAGGGAGGAGGCTCCTCCTGTGTTGGTGGGAAACCCTTCTCCATGTCCATATCCAAACCACAGGCTGGAGGGAGGAGTAAGAGACAGACAGGGTGGATGAAATGAAGAGATTACTTTAAGAGAAGAGAAACTGTGAGATTAAAAAACAGCTCTGTTTTGCTTCAAGATGGTCTGTGAGAATCTGATGATATTACAAATTCAGACAACTTAAAAGGGATAGTTTGGACTGGGGCAATTTTATTTTACATAACTAACTTAAAAAATAAAAAAAAAAGCTTTAACAGAAAAAATAAACCAACTGCAAAAAAAAACCAGGATGATAAAAAGTGTCTGAGCTACAGAGACTGACAACAGAGCAATATTCTGAAAAATTCAACTTTTAAAATTGAAAGAGATTTATCTGCAGATTGAGCCACTCTGACCTTGTACATTGAATCATTTAGTTTTCAGTGTAATGGTGGGGGATGTTAAAAGACCTTGGCTTGATGACTATACACATACTGAATTTGTCTATGGTACAGTAAAATGATCTGCCTTTTTACCACGTCGCTGATACAAGAGTCAGACTCATTCCTGAACACTTCTAATGCACGGTCTGACGGTACAGTTATTCAACAGTGGTCTTAGCTTAGTTTAGATTAATTTAAATCAGTTATAAATAATAATACACTTCTTGTGATGATGGCTACAGCCTTTAGAATTAAATCTTTTGGGACGTCGTCTCCGTCTATTCTATTTATTTTAAAACTAAATTAGATACTGCCGCTGTAATTTTTGATGAAATTTAAACACCAGTTTTAATTTAACAAAAGGTATTACAACTTAATATTCAACACGAACACCTCCCATGAGGTTCCGTCAACACACATAAGTCAAAGAGCTGGAGTGGTGGGAGTATGGTGTTTGAATACTAAGCTAGTTATAGGCCACCTTTGTTAAAATGATAATGGAGGTGAATGCACACACGACCACAGCCCATGAATTGGAATTCTGTATTTTAATGTAACCTATGATTTATGCTGTATTCATTAAAATATTGCATCTTCAGCTAAGCTAAGTTCACCTTGTTAGTGATAACAAGACTTCGAGTCTACAGTCATGCAAGCGGCGCCTGTTAGGCTGCACTGAGCTAAACACTAACATCAACATGCTAACATCCTCACGACAATGTTTACATGCTTTTGTTTAGCGGGTGCAACATTTCCCCACGTTCACCACCTTGGTTTAGTGTGTTAACATGCCAACATGCTAACATCTGAGGAAGATGAGAATGTCGTTGGCTCTGCAGGTATTTGGTCATCAAGCAAAGTATTCAACACATTGGAATTTTGACCTGATGGCCGTGCTAGTGCAAAAGTCAGGAGATCACCAAAATCATTAGGATTCATGCTCTGAGAAACATGAATGTCTGTACCAAATTTCGCCGCAATCAATTAAGTAGATGCTGAACTATTTCACTGAATAAATGAAAGATTTGACCTGCTGGCAGTGCTCACAAAGGTCTGTACAATCCAGCCATCCAACAGGTGTTGAGATATTTCAGTCGCCCACACATTGGTGGGCCGACAGACACGCACTGTCATCAGCAGAGCCGCGACACAAGCACGGTTAAACAAAGGCATCTATGAGTTTTTCAGACTCTGCTTATGTTTGAAAATTGTACAATTCCCCAAATACCAAACTATCCCTTGAAAACAAAGCATGAGTCATTCTGAGTGGTGAGTGAATGAGGGTGACTAATTATGTGAGTAACAGGATGAATGATGAAGGTCAGACACATGCAAAATGGGACGCATTTCTCTCTAGAGTTGACTGTAAGAGCACTTCTAATGCCCCAGACCCGGAGAGTTAAAAGTACATAGGTAGTGAGGTAGGGGCCCCTCCGGACTGTGTTGGCCTAGTCCAAGGTGTCTTACCCTGGGGCACATTGAGGCTCTTTTCCTGAGCCTGAGTGGTGCTGGGGACGACTAGGGGTCTTGAGCCTTTTCTGTGATCTGACAGGAGCAGGTGATATGCTGGGTTGTTTAACAGCAAGGCTGGGAGGGCACACACACACACACACACACACACACAAACACACAGGACGAGGTGGGGTACACGCGGGTACCATGATATGGATCATACACGATACAAAGTGGCACGTAACACAAAACACACACACACACAACAAAACACAATAACAACCATTAGCATGACATTGTTAGCATATCCATTATTATATAAGGAGGAGGTGGGGTTGCATTGACACATGGAGAACAGAAATGGAGAGCAGTGCAAGAGCAGGCAGAGGTAACGTAACACAGGCCACAACCAAACATAACAAGAACCAGCGGATGAAATAATGTTTCTGTTACTCATGTTATTTCAAACTCACACAGGCGCACAGTAAAGACGACATGCAGACCTCCTGTGGTGCAATGCAAGTGAAGGAATGTCTTTTCTTTCTTTACTCTTCTTTTTCTCTTCCCTCTTTTATTTTTCTTCCCTTTACTCAGAACAATAGCTCTTCTGTGCCCCCTCTGCTCTGTGCATCTTGGAAGCACTCTTCCTCGCGGGGTGTTTGGTTTGATTTACTTTTGTTTGGTGTGGTGAAATACACTGTAATACCAGTGTTTTCTTCATATGCATGCAGCATTTTTTTTTTCCTTTCTCCTGCTGTTTCCCCTTCTCAAATGAGTTTGCGTACTGATATGATCAGCAGAGGTTGCAAAAGCATGAACACAGGCACGCAAATGAGGCAATCTGTACAAACCACATACATGTTTGTAGAAATTAAAATTCTGAACACATGAGCTGTTTGCATTGTCTCATGGTTTCCACTGACTCCATACCAATTGTGTGCGGTTGACTGTTGATCAATATCTGTTACCATGTATTTAGCATGTGGTATGTTTTACTGTATGTCAGCATGTTCTCTGTCACACTACTAAGCTACAACTAAAAACAGTGGACCCTATAGTTGTCAAACAAATCTATAAATGCAAACCATAACTGTGCTGTCATATGAGTGTGTTTATAACTTACCCGTGCTGTCTCTGTGATCCCTCGGCCGGAGCAGAGCGCTGGGTTCCTGGTACTCTCCTTCTCCCTCTCTGTCATGGTCACGGTCGTCGGGGAAAGTGTGGATGCGCTGGTAGCGGCTCGAGTAGCTGTGTGTGTTGTTGATGACCACATTGTCAGAAGGGACTGACAGGTGGACCCGCAGCTCATCACTCGACAGGCTTCCCTGGGCCTGGGATGGCAGAGGATTCGCTTGAACACAGGTAATATAAATGCACCATTTGAATCCCTAAAGCGGGTGGCGATCAAACTGTGGAAACTGCCTCTAATTTTTGAACAATTAGAAGTAAATGTGAAATGATTCCCGCAACACATCCAGATGGAGATACAGTGGCACTCTGCCAAAAGACTGGCAGTTGTGATCTCAGCTTGCTATCAGTCATTTAAACTCAGATAAAAGGGGCAGCTCAGCCTAATCACACAAAAAAACAATTTCTCACTAAGGACTCTTTATTCTTTAGAAGGTAGTTAATGAAACTGAGGCTGTTAGCAGCAGGATCTATGAAGTAACTGGGATCATGGAGTCTGGAAAAGCAAGTTGATGTTGTCTTTTTCAATTGTATATTTTCAAAGCTTTGATCAACACAAACAATATTTGATTAATCTCCACTGTACTAGGGTGGTAACAGAACTCTCAGAGATACCTGCAGAGGCTCCAAACGTCTGGCTAGTAAAACCAAGACAGCATGGCTAGATACCACTTGGGGTAAATAAGAAAATATGTGGGTGAAGTCAAGGCCCCTAAACATGGACATGAGAAACCTGCAGTTAAAGAACAGTTACAGCCGAATGACCAACCGCATGTCACCTCACCTTGCCCAGTATCTTTTTCCAGTACTGTCTCCACAGAATGACAGCTATCACAGCCAGCAGCAGAAGGATGATGCCCACCAGGCAGCCAATCAGAATAGCTGTATTACTGCTGTCATCCTTGGCTACAGGAAGGCCCGCCCTGGGAGTTGCAGCGTCAAATTCAGGCCCTAGAGGAGAAAAATACGGGATGAAAAAGTCAGGCGTTTACACGTCAATGTGCTTGATTACCTTTAACCTGTAGGTAATTATCAGTCCTATGTAATGTGTATAGAGCAATGTGCAATGCTGTCTCTATCTGTGGGTATGACCAGACCTTGGATTGGGCTAATGCACTGTTCAGTCTGAGCATTAGCTCTTTCAGTGCAGTCACTGGGGTCAAACACATCAGCATAGTTTCATCAGGCTTACTAAAGATCTGATGGGGATTGTCTGTGCGAGTACGCATCCAGTCTGTGCGCTCATACCAAAGGGATTCTCAGAGCCTGCTGCATGAGAACAGAATGTGAACATTGCTTTTTCTTCTCAACAGCTTTGTAGTCAACTATTCGTCAGAATCATCCGGTTATTTTTTCTCCCCTGAAGGTCAAGTGACACGTGAAATGTTATTTAAATACGCGATGAAATACTTTCCTCAACTCTTCAAACCACTTGAACAAAGTAAGTGGTGGGAAAAAAATGGCTCGGTTAAAAAGACCAAAAATCAGGCACACATACTACACATGGGGCTTTTATGTCCATGTATGCACACAACACATACATAAATACACACCTGCAAGCACACACTCAAACATTCCTTTGCCAGAGAAAGATTTCCATACCACATTGTTCCAACAGAAGACAACTCATCCCCTTTCTCTCTCTCTCTCTGTCAGTTCAACACCATGCATGTAGGTAATAAATAAACCCAAACAAAGCCATTCAACCACAGCCAATAACAAGGACAAAGCAGCATACACGCCACAAAAAAACATTTCCAGCTTTTATAAAAAAAAAGCCTGTTAATGTTTAGCTGTGTAGAACAGAGCCAGTTCCCTGAAAAGAAAACATGCTGTTTGTGAGACCACAGGAAGCCAAGTTGTTATTGTACATAAATATAATGTACTATAGCTGTGTTAGTGTTTTTCCTACAGCTGTATATCTCCAAGCCCAGGGGACAGAACCCAGTGCCAAAGCCTGCCCCTGTAATCCCTCCTCCATTATACTTCATACTCTCTACTGAGCAGTTGGACAGTTTTAGAAGCTGAAGGAGGGTCAGACTGGATGGAGCGAGCTCCCCTCCCGCAGTTCATCCTATCTGTCCATTTGTTTTGCTCACTCTCACCTGACAGCGTCCAGTTACCAGTGGTGTCCGTCATGAAGGTGGTGGTGGTGGGGGGTTCTGGAGGAGCGAGGGATGGACAAAGGAGGAATGTGTGAGAAGAGAGGCGGTGAAGACTGAGTGATGAGGAGAGGAAATCGTGGAGAGCAGAATTCGGGCTTATTTGGCTTCTCATCCATTACTATGAAAATTCCAAACCAACTTTTTAAAAGTCAGACCAAGATAATGAAAAAAAACTTAAGAATTATAAGTTCAATTATTTGACCTTTAATTTTAAGCCACATCTCTCCTGCCCTTTAAGTATAATGAAATCTGAAAGATAAGCATCCGGCATTGACTTAGTTTCAGCGAATGTTGGCTCGCAGCCAAAGGATTTCAGCGCTCATGATAAAGAGAGAAGCTAGTCAGACATGGGCCTCCTTTGGCACAGCCGGCCTTTGGCTCTGCATTAGATGCATGGCTTGGAAACACTGCCGACATGCTCACACTCATCACAACTGCAGAGAAGGAGACGGGCACAGAGACAAGAGGAGATGAGAAAGAGATCTGGGGAATTAGAGAGGCAGGAGAGAGCAGTACGGAGGGGTTGATGAAGCAGCGAGGTGGGTGATGAAAGTCGGACAGTGGAGAGAATGGTCGGTGAAAAGAAGGATGGTAAAGCTAGAAGATGTGGGGGTGAAGAGGAAGAGGGGAGGAGCAGGAGCTCACCTGAAGGGTCGGCAGTGGCGTTGGAGGAGCTGTGGCTCGATGTGGGAGAGGAGGAGGTGTGGTTTACAGGAGGAGCAGAGGAACTGATGGAAGGAATCTTGGGAGGATAAGGAGGAAATGAATCAGGCTCTTTGACATCCTCCTCAAACGGCTCTGGATAAGGAGGAAAGAGAAAGAATCACAGAGACAATGAAAATGAATCATGTTGTATATGTTTAGGGGGCTTTCATATGGCACAACACACTGTCTAGTGGTCCTCAGCTGTTGGGAAACAGTGGTTGTAGTCACAGCTGGTTGTGTCTCCAGACAAAGGGATTTCATTCATTTCATTTCTAGAGACTTGATCATGTTGTTTTTGACTGGGAACAGATCCGTTCCTTGTTAACTAATGCGAATGATTGAGTTAGCTGGCTAACCAAAGTTAAGTGGCCAGCTAACCATTGCTGTATTGTTTTAAACTTCTATACTTATATAAAGCCGTAGCCATTTATTGCAGCAACAAGTCTTTCAGTTTGGCGGTGTGGCTCTGCTCATGTGATGCTGTGGTGTCCCTGAGCAGAACCTGTGATACACAACATTTAATGAACCTGCACCCATATTAAAAACATCCAAAATTCATGTTTGATTAATGACTAAATGTGAGTCAGCTCTGGCCAATATGAGGCCACACACTCGCATGATTTGGTCATTGTTGGTGGTGTACAGACCATGAACCGGACCAGTGCACTGGTGCATCATTTATCACTAGTCTGGCCTGTGTCCAGCCACCAGACCACAGTTGGGTCAAGTCATTTCAGCTACCTGAGAACAGTGGGATTACTGAGCACTTTGCTGATTCTTATCACGCGACCACTGACAGTGTTTTTGAGTACAGAGGACAGTTTAATTAGTCACAGCAATCTCCGCTGGAGAGCAACAGAGGAGCCTGACTTCTAATCAGATAGGCATAAATCCTATCTTCACAGGAGATATCGAATCCCCATCTCTGTTTGCCTGCAGTGGTGTGTTTCAGCCTGTAAACAGGAAGATAGTGAAGACAAGACAGCAGACGGAGGAGTAACGGGCTTTTTTCCAGTAAACCCTTTTTGATTCTGACTTTGATAAACTTTAAAATAAATTAGGAGAATAGAAAGAAATACTGACACAACGTCTATGTTTCTGGTTGGCCTATTTATTTACACCTTTCAACTTATTTGGGTAAAAATTTGCTTTGATCTTTTCCCAAAAAAAAAGTTCAATAAAACACAGCATTACGATTCTGTTGAATCGCCGCCAGCGACTACACGAGATGCTTGGGTGCCAAAAATACTGATACCGTCTGGAAACAAATGTAGCTCATCAGATGAGGGTTCACTTCACCTGACTTAACTTTTACTTCAAGTATTTAAAGAATGCTGATTGGTCTTACACCTTTAGTACAACAATCTCTCAGGTATCTCCCTTTTTCTGTTGCTGCCGTCTATATTTAGTTATTGTTTAGGAAAAGTCTCATTTCTACTGGACCTCCGAGACGGTGCCAGACATAGTTGCAAGAATATCTAAGTGCAAAGCTTCTACAAAAGAAAAACTTCAATCAACTTCAACTTCAACTTCAATTACTTCAATTCAGCTTCCTACCAGAGAGGAAGGATATCTCGCTGATGAGCAGCCAACGGTCAGCAAAGTAGAATTTGCAGCGGAGGATCTGTGCCGGTCGGCCACCCAGTGGGAGGGAGATGGGTCGTGAGGAGGGGTCCTTCAGATCGTCAAGGGGGACGGGCAGGGTGAGGGCGGGAGAGGACCAGGGCTGGAGGATGCCAGGCTTAAAAAGACACTCCACCTTGCTGAAGACTCGGACGCCCTGGGTGTGGCGGTTGTTACTGTGCACCTAGAGGAAGGAGATGAGTGTGTGAGTGCAGATAAGAGAAAAGAAAGAGGGCAGATGAAGGAGGGGAGAGGGTGTAATCAATTAGAAAACTATCTACACATCTGAATTAGCTCGACCTCCGTACAAACATCTTGAAAACTCTGGGAAACATTGGCCCCTTATTCATTCCGTATTTGTGGAAATGGAAGCGATTCAATTAACACGCAGAATTAATGACACATTCTCATCCTGTTCTGCCGTAATTGCTTTGGCACAACTTGAGCTTAGCTGAGCGGGACTGCAAATTAAGAAAATAAGAATACAGCAGGAAAGAGAACGGATGGAAAAAAACTGAAAGTGTATGACAGAAGAGAAGAGCAACGGAGGAGAGCAGGGGATATATCTCTGCTGTTTTTACAGGCCGGGAAAGGAAGAGGAATCCATAAAAGCTGAACTAATATATGAGGCGTCATTGTGGCTGGAAGGAGGAAGAGGAGCTTGAGGAGAGGAGATGCAGGAAGATGGAGAGTGTTTAAAAGAGCGAGTGAGAGGTCAAATCTATAGATCTGAAAGATAGAAAATTAAGGAGGAGATGGTGGGAGATCTTTTTTTTTCCCCCTGAGGTGGTGCAAAGGGTGCTCTGACAGGCTAGCTATTAAACTAGCACTTATTGCAGGGGCAGCCAGTCTAACCTCATCCACATGTTAATGCATGCACGCGGCGAACACACACACACACACACACACACACACACACACACACACACACACACACACACACACACACACACACACACACACACACACTTTAGATGCAGGAAGAACAGCTGCACCAGATGCTGAGTTGACATGTAACTGATTCTATCTGGAAAGGGACAAAATGGGGTGTGTTTTTGTTGGTGGTGGGGGTCTAACAAGTCAACAGAACCCAGGTAATTCACTACTCCTTCAGGGAATACAGCTCCAGTGACCTGCACTAAGCTTAATTTGGGAGCGTAACATTGCATTCATTATGTTTCGCTTGTTTCATCATAAATCTAACCTACATTATGAATTCCCTCTGATCTTTTTGTTTAGTTGCCTCATCTTTCACATGCGCTTACAAAGTAAAGTTCTGCATAAATTCCCAAAGGACAGAACTGGATCTTTACAAAAGCAGATCAGAGTGAGTCCCCAGTCTGTCTGTTACAAGTCTTGTAGGAAGTGGCGGCTGTGACCAACAAAGGGTCAAAGAGCAGATTTCCCCTTGGAAGTGATTAGACACAGGTTAAGGAACTCTGACCTGCAGAGACAAGTCGGGCTAGAATGAGGTTCAGGTTCCCATTCTTTATTTATTTGACCTGTGTGTCTGACATATCCGCCGTGCCAAGCCAGAATAATAATGCATGTCAGCTGAGGTTAGTGTGGGAAAACCACTGGGGAAAAGGCAAGAAAAACAGGATAAGCCTAGAAAAAACACTTGGAATACCGCTGGGAAAGATTTTAAAAAGGTAACTGAGAAACGCTGGAATAATAATAACGAATATGTGAAGAAAAAAAAACAGAGAGAGAGAGAGAGAGAGAGAGAGAGAGAGAGAGAGAGGGAGAGAGAGAGAGAGAACACAGAAATTTTGGATCTCAGTCAAAACCAGGCTTCTAAAACATGTCATTTTATAACACTGGGGATTCGTGCTGTTCCGTATACACATGTTTAGAGTGAGTCACACCCAAACCGACATACCAAACCACGTCCAACGAGACAACACAGTTATAACTCAAACTGGGTTGCTTCATATTATCATCCCCTCTGCTGCTCCACATACTAACCCCAAAAGCCACGCAGATGCACAAACAGACTGTGATGCAACTCGGTGGCACCCAGAGATCTGGGCACAGATGCACAATCCCATGATAAACAATGGCACATTAAAACTAATTAAATGGCTGCAAAGCTACTTTCTGGTGAGATGGCAGATTAAAAAAAGTTATTCCAGATAACAGGAAAGAAAAGGGATAAACAAACGTAACCGTGCAATTGGAGGTTCATTTTAAAAGTTTACACACTGGTTGGAGCTACAGGAATTTCATGCAAAAAGAAACAATCAGCTTAATGTCCTGCCATAAACACAATGACATGCTTGTCTTGTGCTAATGAGATAATTAATTAACCAAATCAATGTATTAATGAACAAAGTGTTCTTTGTCATCTTCATTGTCTTTTCATAAGGAGTAAAGTTGCATAAAATCAGTATTAATATGCAGATTTATGCATCAAGGTGCTCCAAAATCTAATCAGATCAGTTACACTAAAGCGGGAACAAGCGAGGAAAGTTTCCATTACTGCTCTGTTTTTTTACCAGATTAGTTTTTGGCGTTTTTGTGACTTTTTTAACTGTTAAGATACAGACAGGAAACATGGTGATTTAGGATACAATGTATGACATGCAGCTAAAGCCCCCAGCTGAAATTGAATGTGTAACCTTGCAGTTATAATGTGGAGTATGTGTCTTACATACAAAGGCTATGAGGAGGCCCTTTGTACGGTTCCTGAGTTACTGTGCTGAAAAGAGAGAGTCCAATGGGAGAAGGATGTTCTCTCTCTCATTCATTTACACACAGCAACACAGGAAAGACACAAAAAAGATCTGATGTAGGATGGGATAAAAGTGAATGTGCATAAAACTTGTGCGCTCTGTAGATTCAGTATCATCTCCTGCCTAAAAATCCAGATTTTAGAAAGATGGCCTCCCTGAAGACCAAGACCCAGACCAAGGACCGGTGCTTTTAGCCACGATGACATCTCTGATTTACAGGCAGCGCAATGCCAGAGGAATAACAACGTCCTGCATAACCCTCTCAAGTTCAGCAACACATGCACCATCACACTCAAACACCAACGTTCACCGCCTACCTGCATGTTGTGGAAGACACGTGGTCTCTCAAAGTGGAACTCAATGTCCACGCTGCCTTGCCCAAGGGCTTCCCGGCTCCAGCCAAGGTAGTCGTACCCAGGCCACACCCTCAGCTCCTTAGTTTGTATGAAGTCATCTCCACCAAGGACACCGTCACACAGCTGACCCAGGCCTCCAAACTGCATCCTGCACACACACGCACACACACACACACACACACACAGCACTGAACAGGTTAACATTTAGCTCTGTGCAGAAATAATGCTGGACACTGCTGCAGACTGCTTGTCACTTTCTATTTCTAAAGACATTCATGAGCCAGCATGCAAAGATGCATAAATAAGCATATATACATAGATGCACATTCAAGCAAGCTGGCACGCGCACCACAGACACAGACACACACACACACACACACAGACCTCAGTACAAGTAAAGCAACACAACAGGATCCCCTAATAGATCCCCTTGCTCCCAGCCCTTTGAGTCTCTCCCTTACAAACACACACACACACACACACACACACACGCACACACGCACACACATCTGCTACAAATACATCTGGATTACATCAAAATTGTTAGCTCACCTGCTAGCAAAACATTTCAGCCCCATTAACCACAGCCCCCGTAAACCCCCCCACCCTCCCCACAAATTCCTAGTTCACCCCACTTTGCTCGCTGCCAAAACATTACAGTCAGGAAACACGCCTCAAATCCCTGAGCAACTAAAAGAAAAAAAAAAAGAATGTCATTCCCTTTCGATTAGGCGGACCCCAGAATAAACTAAGTCAAGAAAGGATTTGGCTGAGACCCCTCCTCAGTGGTAACATGTGATGAGAGCTGGGGAGAAGCTTTTGGAATTCCATTGATCGAGGCACATTTCACTCCACAGTGTTGTAACACTTGTGAATCTTTATCGCAATCATTTTGCCGAGGCTGTGGTGTCTGTATATTTCCATGAAAACGAAATCCAAAAAGGGCAGTTTATGGGAATCTATGGAAATGAGACGCTTACTCATACATAAAAATGAAAAACAGTAAAGAAGCCTAGTGCGGCTGAATATCTTACCCTTGCTCAGTGCTCCCATCATAGGTGGAGTCGTTTAGGTAGACAGACATGCCAGGCAGCTGCATGACGTGACCCACTGGAGCTGTGTAAGCCTTCAACCCGTCTGTGTGACAGAAAACATTCAACATTAACCATCTGAGTGTTGGACTAAAACATGCTTTTTATAGTTTTCTGTTGAAGATACACACGTGCACCAGCTGCATGTGAGGCATCTTTAATTTGTAAAGCTTTTCATTTTAATCATGCGCAACTACATGTTGACTGAGCCAAGATTCAACAGTAATCACTGCCGCGGGGGAAATGGCTACAGCTGCTTTCTAAGTAGTAAAACAAACGTAGAGGTCCACTGCTCAAACCTGTGCTGTCCAAGCCACCATTAGCAGCGAAACTTAAGCCTCTACCCGCCAATACACAGCTAATCAGCCCAGTCCCAGCGAACTGAGGTGACGTCAGCATCACAGACTACAGCCCCGCCGCTCGGCTACCCATAATAAACAATACTTCACATAGGATTTACAGTATGTGTGCAGTATGCTCTGTTTGCACACCAATGAGTGTCTTTGGATGTGGTAATCCACTCAGACGTGCGTCTCATGCACCTGCGTGGGGGTGTGTGAGGGTCATGAAGGTCCATCTGAAATGTAAAACAATAAACACAGGGAAGACGCCGTGCCGCCACATGATCTGATACGAGGTGAGATCAGAGACTGACTATGTAAAACTTGACATTCTGTAGATTCTCGATAATGTCTGGCTTGTGGAGCTGCACTGCCTCAGAATCAAAATGAGAGCATATTTTAGAGGTGGTCTTCACTGAAGACACAGACGGTGGAACAGGGGCTCTGATTTACAGGCAGCCCAGTGCAGCCTGTCTGAGGGAGGTGGATGGGGCAGGAGAGAAGTTGAGCCAGTCATAAATACTCAGTTAGTCAGTGTTGTGCTTCAGGAAACAGGAGACCAACACCATTTATTACTGTGTGACTTATTTTATCCAGGCAAATCCCACCGAGGATGTAAATTTGATGCAATACCTCAAATCGATGCAAGGGATGTATGGTGAAAACACGCACACACACTCATAATAATTATCATCGAACAAATCCCTCCCCGTTTCCTATCTGATACAGGAGTAAATCTAGGATGATAGCGAACTCATTTACCTTCACTATATGAAATGTAATATGATTTATCAAGCTCTGGAGGGCATGCCTCAGAATACACAGACAAAATGAATACCTAAGTAGGCCACAAAAGCAGCAACGGCAACACACGCTTACCGTCCCATACGCAACCGTAGAGTTCCACCCGAAGGCAAACACTCATTACCCGGTCAGCCAGGGGGTAGAAGCGCACCATGCGGGCGACGATGGGAGGGCCCAGGTCTTTCAGCACGATATCATAGGTGTTCTCATTACCGGACACCACCTAGGGGAGAGAGATACAAATATTCAATCACACATTACATCGCCCGTCTCCCACCTTATCTGCAAGGTTGAATAATCTCGCCTGAAGGCTCTGACTTTTTATTCAGAGTGTGTCTTCAAAATCTGTTAATCTAAGAAGAGCACAAATGAACTGACTGAACTTCTTCTTTAATACACAAAGGTGTCAAGATTGACAGACTTTTGGAGTGAGAGCTTCAGGAGCAGTTTTTGTAGGAGCAGCCTTTATCTAAAATATTTAAATGGGCTTGCAATATCTGAATGTTTGTTGTGTAGCAGTGTTCTGAAATAATATATACTTCTCTAAAAACACTGGTCGTTTGCGGTCTGTGTTTTCATGATTCCATGTAGTAGTGGTACAAAATACAGTGCAGAACTGATGCACAACAGGAGGTGCTTCTATCTGAACAAGGTTAAGGTTTTCATCGGATGGTGTTGAAAAAATCAGGCAGTGAAGGCTGCTTCTGTAGCCTGAACAGACACTGCTCCACTTCTAAATAAATAATGGATCAAATGCAGATGAATAATAACACAACGTTTATACTCAGCAGCCACAGGATAATGAGCTGTGTCCTATCAGTAATGGATACTTCATTTTCCTAAGGTTAAGCTCCAAGGTTCCAAGCTCATTGAATAACATTCAAACTATCACTTCCCTTCATTTGTGTTCACACGAGACGAGACAGCGGGCTCCAGCTCTGTTGTAAATAACTCTTTCTTACTTCCTGGCTCCAGCGGTCCCTCCAGGTGATCCATTTCACTCCGTCTCGAGAGTAGCGGAGCCGATAGCTGCGAGCAAACTCCTGGCCGTGCCCGTCGGCGTGACGACCCTGGGTACCAACCAGAGCCAGGAAGTGGAGTTTGCGCAGGTCAATCTACGGGAGACAGATAATACATTATCAAAACACAGGGAAATTGCTCGCCTTGCTCCGTCAAAAGGTGGAGCACAAAACCTCTGAACACTTTCCGCACAGATTAAACAAACAAGATATATCATGTTAGTTAGTAAGCGTTAGTTGTGGTCGTAGGTTCATAATTATGATTATGATAATTATTATAACAACAAATCAGAGCGGAGTAAACTGAGTATCTGACCTGAAGGTATTCTGATCCACTGGGGAAAACGGCTCCTGCAGGACACCACGCTCCATCCCCCTCTCCAGTACTCAACCTGAGAGAAACAAACAAGCAGAGAGAGAGGGAGGTTCATACTGTGAAATAACAAATTGAGAAAAACTAACAAAGACATTTTTAAAATAAAAACCCAACAGAGAAAGCTCACTAAATCCCAGTTCCATACCCAAACATTCACAAACACACCCGCAACAACACTGACTACATCAAAACCCACAGTGCTGGCAGCATGCAGAGGTACAAGTGAGAATTCAATACAAACAGTCCGACTCTCCTCCACCAACATACATATTGGATCCCACGGCAGCCAAACATTCACATAAATGAGGCAATGTTGTCTGAAACCGAGAAATGCAGCGATACAGAAACCTGGCTAAAGACACGCCGTAGGTAATAGAGAGAGGGAGAGCGAGAGAGAGAGACTGCAGGCAGATGGAAAATGCAGAGAACACATTAGGCTCGAGAATAAGAAGAGAAAGGGAGAAGAAAGGAGCAAGAGTGGAAATGACTAGCTCTTTCACATTCTTCAAACCTCACAACAAGGTCTGGTGTGTAGCGTCAGGATCTTTACTCACAGCTCCTCAGGCCCGCTACGACCACACACATGCACCACTAAAAGATTTTCACTCGATGTGAAATCCAGTCAATCCAGTCTGAGAAGAAAAGTACATACTACCACCACATATTGGCCACATGAAGACCACAAAGTTGGCTGTGTGTCTGTGTGTGTGTGTGTGTGACTTGTTTCGAGGAGCTTTGCAACAGACGCCAGGCCACAACCATGCTCTGACCACTGCGGGGCTTCTCCCAAAATGAAAGCTGCTGCTCAGACCGCCAAAACAAATCACTATATCAACTCGGTCACGCTGACAGTGGAGCTAATATTTCAATCCATCCTGTTCTCCACTTGATGGGTGAGATCATGCAGCCGGAAACCGCGAGATGATATCAACACATCAGAGCTCCTCAGAGTGTCCTGTGATGGAGGGAGGCGGCGGGAGACGAGGATGAGGAGGGAGAAAGGAGGAATGTGGCTGGGCAGAGTTCAGTCCGACGTGCACCAGCCAGCGGGATTAACATTACAGCAAACTGCTCTGCCAAGTGCCTCACTCTTTCTCCTATTTCTCTCTGTCTCTCTTTTGCTTCCTAACTAAAATACCAGCCAATGATTCATTCCACTCTCCTTGTTCTCAGTTCCCTCCATCTTTGCGCCACTCCCTCACACCAACGTGCTGATATATCACTGCCCACTGAGTAAGAACAGCCATGAAAAAAAAATAATACCTACTAGATCTGTATCCCTCACTCCCTCCCTTAACACAACACCCTCCTTCAAACCCTGTTTTCAAATTAATTCCTCTCCGACTGTCACCACACTATAGCCGCGATCCACCTCTCACTTGTTTTCTTTTTTCTCACTGTCAGCTGCTTTCTGTTTTCTCTCTTTCTCTCTCAGTGTCTCCCTGGTGTATCTTAAAAAGAGCTAGGGCTAATAATCATTTCCACATGGATAGACACTCAGCCAAGAGAGCCAGCCAAACAGACCAATGGAGACAAATGAACACACACACACACACACACACACACACACACACACACACGTGATCCTGCGAAGGCCGGTACACATGGCTGTAGCATGTTTTGCCTCTCATGACTCTGACCTTGCTGCCAGACAGACAAGGTGGTAATATAATTACCCAGTGGGTTTTAGAAAGACACACACTATCATCTTCTGTCATAATCTAATAGACCTCTGACGAATTACTTTAGCATGGTGCCAACACGCTGGGAAAAAAAAGGCATGCAGACAAACACATCAGTCCACAGTGACATGTGGATGAGCACAAGAATATCTTATTCCTGTAAAAGTGCTGTTACTTACTGTTACAGTCAGCTGACACAACAGTAGCTCTTTTAAAAAGGTCACTCTAACTAAACAGTTACATAATTACTAGTCAAGTGCAATGGCCAATGTGACATTGTGACCCTCACAGTTTTAATGCAAAGACTGATAATACAGCCCGATTAATCAGACCAAATGACACCTTATTCATTATATGAACTGCTGAACAAATCTGAGATGCAGGCGGTGATTCAGATGTCTGGGACCAGGTAATTAAATTTGCCCTATCAAGCAGCAACCAATCATCCCATTCAGTGCAGCCACTCAAACTGGTGATTATGTTTTCTTTGTAACAATGACTTTAAAAAAGAAGGACAGACCAAATTGAAAAGGTTAAACCTGTTGTTGTGCAGGTTTTAACCCATTAACAACCAATAATATACATTTTCCATTGAAGCTGATCATTTTGCTGTTTTAGAAATTTGTTGTTTAAAAAAAATGTCTTTACATGGTCGTGTGTGCAGCCTGCACTGGTTTATCTCACTACAACAAACCAATGACTGCCAGGATAAAATATGTTATAGGAGAAATAATTTGTGAAATCTATCCATCTACACAATGCTGTTACTGTCCAGTACATGAAATATCATCAATATAATGACGAAGCTGTAGGCTCTACAAATCTTTAATACGGCAACTTATCACCAGCTGATAATCTTCAGTTTTGGTTTAACCTACAGTGGTTTCACTTTTTCACCTTGCTGCAGTGATGTAGAAGTGTACTCCAGGGTGTGTCAGTACACTATGACATCACTAGTGGGTGTGGTTACAGGTGCAACTGAGTGATCAGTGATGCTGGGTGTGAACAGCGAAACACTGTTCTACAGCTTTGTGTAAAGTTACTCTTTAATGTGGAAAGCTGCTTGATTACAGTAATGAAAGTAACACAATTGGATACTTTCCAGCCTGGGCGCACACACACACACACACACACACACACTTTCCTACCTTCCATGTTTGGCCTCAGTGGAGTCTGACCAGGCGCTGGAGGCAGTGATGTCAGAGTCTGGGATGGTGCCATCCTCCATCCCCAGGGCGTAACGACACTGAGCTGTAGGGGAGGATTGAGGGAAAGAGAGAGGGACAGAGGCCGGATAAAGACATGAGTAACACTCTCATTTGTATGGAGCACATGTCCAGGAGAAATTTAATATTTCCATTAGAGTGTCAGCAGCCATCATTGGTCACGGAGCATAATGTTGTTATGTCATCTCTGTGAAAACTTCCGGACTTCATGCTTCATAACCCACACAGACACAGAGAAGAGGGAGAAAAATACCAAACTCTACAATCATTTGTTCCACTTTGCTGAAATTTGGGACAGAATCTCTCAGGGTCCGTCCGTCATGTGAAACTAAATAGCAGTGTTTTGCATCACTTATTCCAGTAATTCCCCTTTGTCCTCTCAAAACTGACAACATCAAAGACAGTCATTAATAATTATATGCATCTTAATTGGCATGCTCATATTCCATGAAGTGGCCCTGTGAGACCCAATGACCTGCCTCCTCTGAGGTTATACCAGTCCTGTTTTTTTTTTGTCCATTTGTCTTTCCATCTAGCTTTCCATCCCACACAAAGCCACCTCCTCGGGACTCCAGCGAACCTGCACAGACCCTGTTCCAGTTACCACTGCTTGGGGATTTACAGGAAGAGAACAAAAGAGAGAAAGAAACGAAGGGCGAACTCAAGAACACAGACAGGTCTCGAATATCTGTGCTGACTGGGCTCCAGCGGCAGCATTATCAAATGATCCAGATAGCATGGTCCCAGGCAGGGATTACCCAACGACCCAGCCATCCACTCTGAAGTCAGTCATGAGGAGGAGGTGGTGGAGGGGGAGGTGAGAGGCTGAGGGAGGGGTTGGGTAGTGATAAAGTGGAAAGGGGTACTGACAGTGATATGGACGGGAAGCTGAGGGTGACAGAAAGAGGCGGGGGTGGGGGCGGGCGTCTAACTCAGTTTCTGTCATTGAGTCAGCGGACAGGAATGTTGGGCTGGATGACAAACCCTAAAAACCCCGACGGGTGCAGCAGACACACACACACACACACACACACACACACACACACACACACACAGTTCACACACATACACACACACACAGTTCACACACACATACACAGTTCATCTGTACCCTGCGGACAGGTGCCCATTTCATTACACCATCATCATCAACACACATTGCCAGTCAACACCCTGCCACCTGCAATCTTTGCACCTCTCTCTCTCTGCTCTCTGCATCCCGGTGTGTCCTCTGCTTTCACCTCCTGTTTTTTGTTTTTCATTTTTCATGAAACTTTAGCCCACCTATTAAAACCTTTCTACTCAAACTATCAAACTTGATTCAGTTCTTTCTACAAGATAAAATGTGTGGGTGTCTGTGTTTGTATGTGTGTGTGTGTGTGTGTGTGTGTGTGTGTGTGTGTGTGTGTGTGGAAAAGTCTGTCCATCTATCTCCAACTGTTTGTTTTTCCATCGATCCAGCTACAAATCCCAGTTTCATTTAGTGCAGACACGCACGGTCCATAAATCAGCAGATCACTCAGCAGACAATTACTCCACAACAATTTCTGTTAGGGCTATAACAAACAACTATGTCTATTATTTGTTGTTAATCTGGCAGTTATTTTTTGAATAAGCACTTGCTCACAATTAGTCACAATCTCAAACTCCTTGAGCCCAAGGTGACATCTTCAAATCACTTGTTCAACAGCCCAAAAACCTAAAATATTCAGTTTACAATCACGTTAGATGAAGAGAAGCAGCAAAAACCAGCCATGCTATCGGCTCTGTGAGGCTGTGCACAGCAGCACTTTGAGCTGAGTTCATTTATTTATTATTAACTGTTATTATTATTATCAACAATGAGCTAATGGACACATGAATTTCCCATAGGGGATAAATAAAGTATCTATCTATCTAAATGCTAATCTCAGAATGCTAACAAGCTCACAATCACAATGCTAACATGCTGATGTTCAGTTGGTAGAGCATTTGCCATGTTCATCATTGTAATTAAGTGTATTAGCATGCTGGAATTTGGTAATTAGCACTAAACACAAAGTCGAGCTGGGCTTGATGAGCACGCTGTTACTTTCACAGATATTTCGACAAACTGAAATGTTGACCTGATGTCGGCACTAGACAAAATGTTAAGGGATCAGCGGAGTTATTACACTTCATCAAACTCACCACATCTCCCATCTATCCATCCAATACTTATTGAGATCTTTCAGATCAACAGACCGTTCCTGGATTGGAACGCCATGCAGATAGCACGACAGCATAATAGTTGCCAATACACTCAGTCAGTCAACTGGTCAATTAGTTGATCAGCTGTTTCCGCTCTAATTCAGTCATTAAAGTCATTCGTCGAGCAAAAACGCTGAACATTCACTAATTCCACTTTCCCAAATGTGAGGATCTGCTTTTTTTCTGCTGAGTATCATAACATCAAAAACTGAATATATTTGGGTTTTGAACAGTTTAATGGATTAAAAAAAAAAAAGAAGCCATTTCAAGATGTAACTTTGGCTCTCAGGAATCATTCATAGACTACAGAATCAGCATATAATTAAAACAATAGTCACAACAACATCCTTGCTCTCTTTCACAGTCTGGCTGCTGCAGGCAGAGGGTTGACCACGCTGCACACAGTCTCTTCTGGTTATACCTGGTTGGCTCACATTAACTGACCCCTCATGCGTTCCCTTTCCCCGACATTTTGACTGACACTTTCACGAGCTGCCTGTGCATTAGCAATCTTGACGAGCCAGGGTAGGAGGAGAGGGAAGGGAGGGGGGGGGGCTGCCCAGCTATCTCGTTCTCCTATTACACACGACCGGCTGGCAGACAGGGAGAGGACACAGGATAGCCTGTTGATAGCGGACGGAGAATGAGCCTTACGGATCTGAGAATGTGAGGGGAATGTCAGAGCCACGGGACAGACGATCGCTGCGCCCGTGGACAGGAGGAAGGGAGTGAAGGGTTTGAAAATGCAATCATGTCTGAGTTTGTGGCAGTAAAAAAACAAGCTGTTTCAGACGAGGCAGTTTTTTTTGGGGGGGACGAAAAAAAACCAACAAAAACAGGAAAAAAAAAAAAAGAAGAAGAAAAAACCCACAATTTATCGATCACAATTTAGATGTTCTCTTGACATGACATCCTACCTGGGTTAAAGTGCCACTCATGTTCCTCTGAAGACGACACCAGTGCCACCAGGACTGTGAGCACAGTGACAGGAAACAGCCGCAGGGAAGGCAAGGCCATGACAGCAGCAACACACCTGGTTACCTGTCCGGAGACACGCTGACGACCACAGGCATACCTGTCGAAGAAAGAGAGATATTTAGGTCTGGATCCACTTTAGGATTCTTGTCTGTGGCTGTTGAAACTGAACCGACCACCATAAAAACACAATTAATTTCATTTTCACATATACATGAAACATTTACTCATGCAGCTGTAGCCTGAGCCCGCTGAGCTCACACACTCAACATCTCCATCAATAACTCAACTCTCTGTATCAAATCCTCTTAGTCCAAGGCACGTAGCATGTCTCAGTCATTTGTTTCTCAACGTTATGCATGCCCAGCTCAGGCCCGGACCCCAGAGGAGCAAGCACAAAGCCACAAAACAAAGGCCACGTTCACAAGCTAATTTGTTTTCGTCTCTGGCAGCCGAATGCCGTGATACAATAATACTTTGCTGCCTTTAGAAAGGGTACAAACAGCTTGGTAATTGAAGATGGTATAATTAGCCGGCCCCATTTACTCCCAGATAATTTTATTCCTTCTGTATTTGAAATACCAATCATTTCTCCAAATTACTGATTTCAAACCTACTTTTCCCTAATAGGGTGAAGCATATTTGGAGCACCCAGTTAGAGATGCTTCTTTGGAATAAATAACAAACAGATGAAGCAGTAAGATTGGAGAGATGAAAACCAATGAGTGCCAGAGAAGAGAAGGACAGATGTCAAAGTATTTTTGAGTTAAAGGGGAGGCAAACATGGTCTGTGCTAGTGTAGCACAAAGTAAATGACTTGCTTTTAACACCTCATCGCAGACGTTTTGTATGTGTTGTTAAGTGACTTAAGATCCTTGAAAGATTCGAGCTTTGCCAAAACACCTACAGTCAGTTGTGAGTTTATTCTGTACACTTAGCTAAAACTAATGCAGTCTAATATAACAGTAAAAGCAGTAAATCCTACAAAGCTTCAGTTTTTGTTGTTTATTCAACTTTACGATCATTTTGGAGGGCTGGGGTTTGTGATACGGTTGAATTGTGATGTGCTGTACACAGAGGTGTTTGTAATATTTAGTTAACCCTCATCAATACAAAAGGGGTAGACAAAATATGTGGAATTACAGCCTCCAAATTGATCATACAAGTGAATCATTAACTCTAAAACCTGAACATTACGACCTTAATGAAGCTTGAATTTACTGCAAGTCTGTTGAAGATCTCATTATCTCATAGCTAGTACATAATAAACTGGCAACAGAGTTTCAAAGTGACATAGTACTCGAAGCTTTCTTCCTAAAAATCTTCTGTGCTTTTTGTCTGACAACACCAGCTTAATTTCACCAAATGAATATGTGAATTATAAAGGAAAAAAAATCTGCACATTTCATAGCTCTGTCCCTTGTGCATATTTTACTTTTGAAAGTGTCTGGGGAAGACTTCCAGTGGTGAGCAAGACGAAGGAAAGAAACTTCATGATAAGTGGAAGTCTGAAGTGGGAGTGACAGCTGGGGGAGACAGAGGGGCCAGGCTGTCTTCCCTGTAGACCCTCTGTGTTTCAGATTCATCTCTGACTAGACTGCGACAGGCCGACAGCTGACACACAGCTGTAGTGACAGAAGATCGGAGGATGGGGGGAGGAGGTCAACCGGGGAGGTGGGGAGGGAGAATGTATGGAAACAGAGTGAATATAAGAGTTAGTTCAGGCAGCACAACATGGCGGAGACGGTGGAACAAGAGCAGCGATGACACGGGTACATGTGTGTGTGTCTTTGGGAGGAGGGAGGCGGTGCAGAGAGGGTGACTTATGGCCTCACAGTGTGTGTATGCATGGGCACATGGGGTGTGAATGTGGGCATAGAGGAGATCTTAGGAATAGCCAGCCAGTGCAGCTGTCCTGAATGGGAGACGCAACGCAACCGATCCATGGTGCATGTGTTCCAAAAGGGCAGAGAAACAGAGAGAGAAAGAGAGGCTGACACCTTCTTTTTTTTTTTCTTTGCAGAAAAACACCCAAGTCCTCCAAATGAGTAAGTACGTGTGTACATATGCCAGATGACAAAATGGTGAAATATGGAGCTTACTGGACTAAGCTGCGTGTGCAAAATCAGAGCTGCGAATCGGATGACTGGGCCCACAATTCCAAGACAATCACCATAACAACCACCACGATGTCAACAAACACTATCCTCGACAGCGTTTCATCGCTGTTTGTCAGTGAGGGGGGGGAAAGGGAAACAAACTTTAATCTAACACACCACAGAAAGACACGACAAACCCGGGAAGAAAACCAGACAAATGTTTCGGCGAGCAGGAACAAACCCTAACCCTAACCCGCCGCCATCCGAGAACATTGTTGTTGGAAAAGTCAAGTGTTGTTGAACAGCTGTGGTTAGTGCTCATAGAGAGGGAGAAGGGCCCGCTGTGTTCTGGAGGAGGCAGCGCAGTGTGGAGCTCAAACTACTCTCTCACATTTTGTCTCAGCTAATCCATGAGCAGGACTAATGAATACTTATGAGCAGCTGCTGTTTCTGTCCCACAGAACGAAACACAACTGACAAGAGAGACAGAGTCGAGAGCAGAGAGACACACGGGATAACTTTTTTAGTTAGCAGCCATTGCATCATTAGAGATAGCTTGCCAGAGTCTCTATAATTAGATTGCTTCAGTAAAAAAAAAAAAATGGTAAGACTGCCTTGGCACTGGTTAGCGTCTTTTCTAGAGAGGCCCTCGTGTTGGAACCATATGTTAGCATTCGTTGTTCTTTCCAGTTGTATAATAGAGCCAGTCCAAATGTCAGTACAGTGACCTAAAGGATTGCTCAGGTGGTTTTGCAGTTTCTGTCTCGTTTACTGAAAAGTGTGCATGCTTTACATCACTGCTGAGCATTTTCCAAAGCATATCTTAACTTAGAGGCTTTTTTGGGATTTCCTCCCATCCCAAAAGACATTAGTTTCAATGTGTCAGTGCAGTATAAAAATCAGCTCACGGAGGCTCTGGACCTAAGAGAGGTAATCAATCACAGTCAATATGAAGTCCATTTTTCCCCCCTGTCACAGTTACATTATCAACATCTGAGACTTAACAGAGCTCCTGAGCAGCATTCTAAGAAATGATGAAAAATTCACATTTATGCATTTTACAGTGGCTGTGTTTGCTTATTATCCCAGTTTTACCTTTGCAAAACAAACCATCTGAATCCAGAAATTCTCAGCAGCCAATTTACAAATGAACTGCTGCTGAATGAGAGTTGCTGTGTGAGAAACCAGCCCCTTCTCTCATCTTCTTGTACACTGATATCTTCTAATCATGTTTACAGTGATGTCATGAGTATGTTTTATATCTGCAATTTCATGTTAACTGCATTGCTAGACAATGTATGGAGAACAACTGTTGGTTAAAAGTAAAATAATTGAGTGTACAGCCATGTTAGCATCTCTATGGAGGCTGTATCTAGGTGCAGCAGTACTTTGAGCTAAATGCTAACGTCAGCATGCTAACTTGCTCCCAGTGATTACATGCTGATGTTTGGCATGTACGCCAACGTAGTTTAGAGTGTTAGCATGCTAACATATGCTAATTATCGTACAGCTGAGGATGTTGGGAATGTCATTAGTGTTGCAAGTATTTGGTCAAAAAACTAAAATACTGGATTAATTAAGATTTTGTCAATGTTACCGTGAAGGCAACAAGAATGTTTGTACCGCACTTCATGGCGATCCATTCAATAGCTTTTGAGATATTTCTCTCAAAACCACAAGTGAACTTCATGGTGGCACTACAGGAAAAGTCAGGGGATCACCAGATTCACTACAGTTCATCCTCTGGGGAGCAGGAACATCTGTTTGAAATTTCATGGCAATCCATCCAGTAGTTGTTGAGATATTTCAGTCTGGACCTTGAGCCACATTGCTTCCATTGCTAAAAACATCCCTTGCTCTCATTTGCATTACCATGTGTTGATAACTTATCTAAAAATGTGTAGTTTGCTTTTGGAAAAGGTCAGCAATGATGTAATAAACATGATTTACAACATACACAACACCTGGATTCTTTTACATTGTTCTTGTTCCATACACAGACCACGTGTGAAGTCTCCAATCATGGCCGGATAGAGTAACACACTGCCTCAGTTAGACGTGACTAATGGCCACTGGGGAGACGGGAGTAGTGAGCTCTTTGTTTTGGATTTCCATTAGTGTGTGAGGAAGTTGGCCAGGTCGTACACACCGCTACCCTATGTGTCCTAGAAAGAAGGAAGTGCGAATTAATCTTCAATCTTCACAGCACTTTGAAGTGTGAGAAACAAGGTCCTAGGATGGCTTTTGAACAAACAAGCTTGGTTCTGTGTGACTCAGAGATGGTGTGAGTGAAATGCTGATCCCTGCGGGGCCACTGTTTCCTTGTTTCTACTGAAGACCCACTCCAAGGGCAGGCATAAGTTTCCTGCCTGCGCAAATCTGTTGAGCGGGTTTCTTCTATTCTCATCTTGAAATAAGTGCCTACAGCTTACTTTGGTTAAATATTAAAATATCACTCAGTGTAATATTCTCTTCACTCTAAGCAAGGAAACAACAACAGCAGCAACTCCCCCTCAGCTAGGGAGGATGTAAACTAAGAGGTTTGAGACAGGCTGAAGACATTTGCACTTGAAACTGAAAATACAGACCAATTCTAAAAATACCCACAGTAACGGAGGGTGAAGTTTGCCGTTGTGCCCCTCTGCTGGCTGCAAGTGTTGGTCATAGACTGGTCATCAAATTATACATCCGTGTGTCACAGTATTCATCCATACGAGGAAGTGCTAGTCACGACTGTGGAATCTGATTTTGTTGAATTTGTACCGCAGGTTGAGGAAGCAGGAGGGAAGGATGGATGAGTCACTTAAACAAGGTAATGAGAGTTGACGGAGGAGACAGCGACAGCGGCCGAGTCAGAAAAACAAATTAAACAGCAGCAACGAGAAAAGGAGAAAGTGCAGCATCTGACTGACGTATGACTCCGGGAGGTGGTGAATCATGATAAAGAAAGCATGGTAAGGGGATTGTAAAATAAAAACATGTTTCCTGGAATACTTTGCTT